CCAGTCCAGCTAGCTATGACAGCGCCAGTAACGACTGCTGTCGAGGCCTTCTAGGGCAATGTATTTGAAATGCGAGCTTCCAGGAACAGAAGCACGACGAGAGCGAAAGAGAAAGTTTGACTGAAGAGTCAAAGTGCTGGTGATAAAGATATGAGATCCGAGGCGTGCTTCGGCTCTTTCGTTCTGTAGGTCGGCTGCACTCAGAAAGGAGGGAATAGTGGGTGTAGCGGTTGCTGTTCTTGGGAGTGAGCACCGCAGATGTGGAAGAGCGAACGAGCCGACGAAACGAAGGAAGAGCGGAAGCTGGAGGGAGACGTGCCGAAACAAGAGAACGATGGAGTGGAAAGAGAAGAGTCGGCAAAGACGATCAGGTTCTTTGAGCCTGAGTAATGTGTCTGCAAAACGCAGCGAAGCGAATCTCGAGAGCTGCTGAGGGGTTGAGCAGCTGGTGTTCCCTGGAGCGACAGCGCAGTGCGGCAGTGTCCCTCGAGGTGCAGTCGCAAGCGCAGGGAGAGAGCGAGAGGCCCTGCAAGTGGTGTGCGCAGCTCTCACACCGGCGAGTCGGCGCCAGCAGCTGCAGAAGGAAGAGGGACCAAGCACCGTGGGCTGAGACCATGCATCAAAGCTGCATGAACGACGATCGAGGGACGCGCGGTCAGCAGGCAACTGTGCTGAGCATCCAGACGCGAGAGCTCTGCAGAAATGCTACAGCTCTGGATGGTGTCCTGCGCGGGCGTAGGCGTGCGTTGGGCCGCACTTTAAGCGTGTGTCCAGACCGTTAGGATGCGAGAGAGGAATTCTTGATTCGTGATGTCGTGAGGTGCTTCAGCCAGACTCGAGTAGTGTATAGTGTGAGTGTGAGGGTGCGCTGCTGCTGTGAGTCGCAGCTGGGTTTGAAGGAGGGTTATAGGGGAGCAAGCGCAAAGGAGCCAGCATGAGAGGTCGCGGCAATCACAATGTGAACGATGAGCGCAGCTGATCAGCAGACTGGCGACTGGGGCCCTTTTGCATATCACCAAGACATCCACATTCAAGGATTGTGTCGTAGAGTCGAAGGCCTCTCTCACCTCGAGCCCGAATTCCCATCATCGCTTGGAATTCCGTCGATGACTGCGTGCTTTGGAGCAGACTGCGGCATGCTGACATGCACGACTTGTCGAAGCGAATATAGGGCGTCAATCTTTGCCCGCTGTGATTGTTGTCTGCTCCACGACAAAGGCCGCGATCTCCAAAGAGTTTTCTCAACAGCTTCATATTACTGCTTGAACGAATTTGCGCAGAGACCTGCCGCGGACTCGAAGCCAAACCGAGCGCAAGACGATCGTGGTTGTTGTCTGGCTGCGGCGCGCTCAGTACACGGCTCGTGGGTGTGTCCATCGCTCGCGCAGCAGCTATGGCAAAGACACCGAGCGTCCTACGCTCCGCTTGGATCCGATCTGGAAGGTCTGTTGCGATTCTGAGCACAAAGTCGGGCTTTATGACATCCGCTGGGCAGGCTCACCCCTGCCAGTCCGTATCCACAACGAGCGCTGGGATGTGTCACCTCACTCTCCACCCCACAAGCCACGGTCGTTGGGAACGCGAAGGCGTGCGGAGCTGCAAATGTGAACCCCGAAATTCAAGAATCGTTCCTGCTGCATGCACATGAGAGCTGAGAACGTAAACCTGAATGCGTTATGGTGTCCGAATTTGAACCGTCTGCCATGACGAGTGTGGCATATTAACAGAGTCGATCGATCTCAATAGAGCGGCTCGATCGATATGCACAATTCTCACGCAACTTTGTTGCGATCTCAAGTCGCGATTGATGAGGATGTTGAGACTGTAGACCGCAAGTTCGAGTCGAGTGCCAATTGATGTACGACCGTGCAGAACGCGCTGCGCCCGGCCGCGTATACTGTAGAAGCCACAAGTTGTTTTCTGAAAAGACTCTTCCACTGCAGCTCATCAATGCAGCAACCACGCGGGCGCAAGTACGCTACTGCAACTCTATGCATGCGTGTACATTGCGCTCACAGCTGGGACAAGGAGAGTCGTGACGGAGGCGGAAGGGCACATCGGCGTGGAGCGCTTCAACACGCAGAACTCTGATCATCCAACACCATCTTCTTTCCTGCTTGTTTGGCTGGCCTACCTGAGATCAGGAACGAGGAGACGATACCGCCTGACATCTAGCTGAAACGGCGAATGTAGGTACCCGTAATTGTGTTGCGTCTCTGATGCTCCAGCTACTGCATGAGAGCACAGCGTTGAGACCGCGCATCGCCTCGCCCTCAATCCGCCGATACGGCCGGCCGCGCGCATGCTGCACGCATGCCATGGCGCTCTCGATGAAGGACACCCGCCCGCGCTCACTCGGATCCCCACGCCGAGGTGTCCGAGTGAAGGGATCGACATGTCTACGCGTTG